CCATCGCCTAGGAAACAGGGGAAGGAGGGGGGGGGGGGTTGTAAAGGAAGGGGGAGGTGTACGCGGACTAGTCTCCCTTTTTTGGGGGGTTTCCATGGCAATGGATGCGCAAAAAATCTGGCATTCGGGGACAAAAGCCCTTCCTGACCTCGTCTTCATTACCCCTCCCTCTAAAAACCCCGGGCCTTGTGAGCCGAACACGATTGCCTCTTTATATTAAATGGCCTTTTAGTCGCGTTGCTACGGCGTTTCTGACTGACACTTTGCTGCTCCATAGCACAGAGCCACAGTGGCTGAGCCATAACAACTAGGCCCGGTTAGCGTAGCAACGCGACAATAAGCCCATTTAATATAAAAGGCAAATATAATGCAATGCAAAAAAAAGCAGAGTTGTGGTGTGAATGGGGCCTTAACTGGAGGGTTGCCTATAGCAACCAGAGAATCTGGTCCCTATGGGCAACACTCACTGTTTCTCTTTCAGACAATAACAAACAAGGCCTGGTTATTTTTAAATCGACGTCTGGCCTTGTTAGGGTTGCCACCTGTCCAGGATTCACCCGGACAGTCCCGGTTGTGAATGCTGTGTTCGGGTTTCACGGCAGCAGAAACCTGGACACAAGATGTCGGGCAGGCAGGCAAAATTAAGATAGAGGCTACTGGCCCCCCACTGTCTGATATTTACACATGAATAAAGCACGACTCATTCTCCCCCAAAAAATGTCCGCACGTCGCTAGACTGTTCGGGTTTCGCTTAAAGAAAAGGTGGCAAACCCTACTTGTTGTGCCTCTTGAGGGTAGGCCGGGCGACCTCAGCACTCCGGCTGTGGTTAAACTACAAGTCCCATGAGGCATTGCAACACTTAGCCAGCCACAGGCACGGGGCCAGAGGCAGAAGCATGATGGAATTTGTAGTTTCAGCACAGCTGGAGGGCCGAGGTTGTCCAATGCTGGATTGTTGTGTTGTTGTCCAGGGACAGAATGGCTAAAATCCAGTTTCTCCTCTTGAGTTACCCCCCCCCAATTGCGCTCTGGCGGTTGCGTTTTCAGCGGTTGGCGGTGTATGAACAGATACAGCGATGATTATAATACTAGGGGGGGTTCTGGACAAAAGCTCGATTGTCTCTATCTGTAACCTTATACCGCGCGGAATATCGACCACACAGCTCCGCGCAGGGCATCTCGTTCCTGGTATACACCGGGTGATGCTTATTATATAGTCATATCTGACCTGCGGCTTCCGGGAAACCTTCCCACAATGCAAACAGTCCGTGAAAAGGTTCACACAAAAGAACTATAGAGGGAACGTTCCGGAAAGACGCTCCGCGGAAACTTGGACCTGATTAAGAGACTTCCTCCTTCCTGATCCCGTCTGATATTACCTAACAGTTACAGAGAGCGGTGATGTCACTCCTGTGTAATATATCTGGAGGGCGGTGATGTCACTTCTGTATAAAAGATCTGGAGGGCGGTGATGTCACTCCTGTACAATAGATCTGGAGGGCGGTGATGTCACTCCTGTACAATAGATCTGGAGGGCTGTGATGTCACTCCTGTACAATAGATCTGGAGGGCGGTGATGTCACTCCTGTATAATAGATCTGGAGGGCGGTGATGTCACTCCTGTATAATAGATCTGGAGGGCGGTGATGTCACTCCTGTATAATAGATCTGGAGGGCGGTGATGTCACTCCTGTATAATGGATCTGGAGGGCGGTGAGGTCACTCCTGTATAAGATCTGGAGGGCGGTGATGTCACTCCTGTATAATATAACCTGGGGTAATGATATCGCTTCCTCCTGATCTCTGTGGCTTCTCCCCCTTCAATGGCCGCCTGCGGTGTCATTAGGATGGAGCGTCCTTTTTCTCGCTCCCCGGGAAGTGTTTACATTGTGACAAGTATGAGGAAGTCTCAGGGCAGATTTGGGGGGAGGGGAGTGAGAAGCTTTTATTTTGAGGGTAAACAAACCAGTGAGAGTCACAAATGTAAACAGGAAGTGGCCCCAGGGGGGTTAATTTGGAGAACACAATGGAGAGTTGTCACTTCCCGACTCCCGATGGCAGGCAGAGCCTGTGAAGCTTTTCACTGACTGGGTTCTCTGTATATATCATTTTGGGGATCGTAGTCAAGTTTTGGTGTCTGTCCCCTTAGGTGACATGTCCCCCTCACTTCCTGTCTGTGACACCAGGATAGGAAATAAGAGGCCAATGTGTGAGATTTCATTGTCTCCCTCCAATAAAATGGCCGCTGCGTCCCCTGACCCGTTTCCTGTCTCTTTCTTTCCTCAGGTGTCCCCGGATTTGTTTTTCTTATGAGACGGGCCGAGCCAGCCAATCAAAATAGAGTCCCTCAAGGTGAAGGTGGATTTCCTGACGGCGCCCTTCGGCCTAAAGAAACCCGTGCTGAAAGAGGCGGCGGCCGTGTTGGCGGCAGTTCCGGGGTCGGGGAAGCCGAAATCCATAAACGTGGATCGCCACAAAGGCCGCTACTCCGAAAACATGGACAACGAGTCCCAATATTCCGGGTACTCCTACAAGTCGGGGCAGTCCCGGAGCTCCCGCAAACACAGGTAGGGGACGGCGGCCAATCGGGAGTGAGAACTGAAGCCCAGGGTTGTGTCTGGAGGGGCTTTGGGGCCCCCGGGGGCAGTGAGACTGCTACAGGCGAGAGACTGGGGACGGGCAACATGGTAGGGTTAGGGACTGGTGACGAGCGAGGGTTGGGAACGGGTGACGGGCGAGGGTTGGGTGACGGGCGAGGGTTGGGTCTGGGGGACGGGCGAGGGTTGGGTCTGGGACGGGCGAGGGTTGGGGACGGGCGAGGGTTGGGGACTGGGGACGGGCAACAGTTAGAGACTGGGGACAAGCTATGAAGCCGTGTGTATTGTGGGAGGGGGTGAGACTTTCACATTAACCTTCAGCACCCAATCAGGATCCATCTAGTGCAGATCTGATGTAAAGCTGTCTCTTGGTTGGCTGCTCAGGATTTTGGTGTCTGTATGGATCTCTCGGTAACATGTGACCTGGTTCTGTCTGCACAGGGAACGGCGGGATCGCCATCGGTCTA